GGTCGCAGGGCCTAGTGATGAACTTAGCACATGGTCGCAGGGCCTTAGTGATGAACTTAGCACATGGTCGCAGGGCCTAGTGATGAGCTTAGCACATGGTCGCAGGGCCTAGTGATGAGCTTAGCACATGGTCGCAGGGCCTAGTGATGAGCTTAGCACATGGTCGCAAGGCCTAGTGATGAGCTTAGCACGTGGTCGCAGGACCTAGTGATGAGCTTAGCACGTGGTCAAAGGGTCTAGTGATGAGCTTAGCACGTGGTCAAAGGGTCTAGTGATGAGCTTAGCACGTGGTCAAAGGGTCTAGTGATGAGCTTAGCACGTGGTCAAAGGGTCTAGTGATGAGCTTAGCACGTGGTCAAAGGGTCTAGTGATGAGCTTAGCACATGGGCAGAAGGTCTAGTGATGAGCTTAGCACGTGGTCACAGGGTATAACAAGAAGTTTATCACATATTTAAGTTGAGTTTCCTCATGGTAAGAGTAAGTATATGCTTATTGGGATTTATCTTCCTAATCAGGTCTTCTCACCTATGAAATGTGTATTGCTGGCCGATGATTGTTGGATTATCATAGGGTAATAATGTGTGGTTACTTTGAATTTAAGGAAAATTGACTGTCACTATTTTCCTGAAGTTGAAAACTTGACTTTTATAAAGATAAAAAAAAGTTTAATTGAGATAATGATAATTAAAACAGTACTGAGTATGTAAGTGGCTCTTACATACTGTAACCCCTATTGTAAGAACATACATAAAAATGTTACAGATGACAATTTGGTCCATTGAGGGTACCCCTCCTCCACAAAATCAAACTAAATGTAATAGTTCAATTTAGAAAATTGTGTGATGACAATAACTTTTTTTCTCCTGCTTTTTTTATTACATTTCTTTATGTAGTAAACATCTATTGCACATGTCATGTCTGGTTTATATAATAAAACAATTTAAGAACAATGCATACTGTACTTTTCTACAAAAAAATGATATTTTGTTACTGAATTGAAGTAATACCTAAATATTACTCTGCTTTTAGAAAGTGAACTAAGTTTTACAGTGGTAAGATCTGTTTAAGGTATTTTGCAGGAAATCCTGACACAGATATTGATTTGGTTGGCAGACACTTCCTAAAGTTACAACAATAACAAACAATCCTTCTGTTTTGTGTTTAAACTCTCTCCACAAGGGCTTGGTCAATTTGACTGACCACATGATCTTTTTGTACTTGTATAAAGTCTTTATACATTGAATACTTCTACTTTCAATATAGTGTGTATATCTTCACATGCAAAAAGCCATATTTTTAGTGAAGTATTTTAAATAAGCTAAAAAAAGATTTGTCCATGAATATGAGTATTTGTTTTGAATAGTCTGTGTGCAAAGTGATTTTCATGTTATGATTAAAAATACTTTTCTTCACTCATCTAATGTAATCTCTAAAACCTCCTAAATACATTTCAGTAAAACTTTATATCTTATCTGTTAGTTTCTCTACCCTAACTCTATACAGGGTTCATCAATTTGACTGATCTCATAACCACCAAAAAAAATCTAAATAGATCTAAATTATTCTTCTTTCCTTTTTTAGAATGATTGTGACATGAAACTACATCCATTTACCCAAAGTAGTTTTAAACACGTAACAGTATACATCTATTTATAATTTATTTATTTTTTATTGCCCTTTGAACATTACACTTTCCAATTACGTTACCCATAAGCTACTACAAGCTGCTCGCATATGTGCCTTGTGTAATATTTTTATTGTATTATTATTATTATTTATTTTACCTAATCTAATCTTAACTAACCTAAAGATATCTCTATTTTTACATTATAGTCACTCTTATAATAATAATAATAATAATAATAATAATAAATAAAGAATAAACGTAAAAAACATGAAATAAAGTACTTACCCGAATATTCTTTTTTTTTTATTGATGACACTTAACCCAACTTTTTTATACTAATGGTAGTAGCGCATTAAATAATTATTTAATTAAATATTGCACCAAAGAACATAGAATAATAACATGTAAAAAGTAGATAATTTCCTCTTAAAAAAATCACATTTTTCTGGCTTTGTAACAAGAGCTGTTACAAATGCATCTAAATTAGCCATTGTGATTTCTGTGGGAACCAAAGTTGTATTACAAGTGTAATTGACTATTCTGTGTTCAGAACTCAACATAATAGAATATTTGCTTTCTATTGGTTATATTATTATCAAATCCTGAAAGATAGGATGTCACAGGTGGGTGTGACAAGAGGGGTCTAATTTTCTATTTGATAGTGCTGTAACCAAATAAAATTGAAGGCTATAAAAATTATGGTTTGTCTGAGCAATAACTATTTTATAGTGCATAGTTTACATTTAATTTCTTAGTTTCTGGGGAGAGGATAAAATTGAGAATAGAGATGAGAAGATAGTTAGAGAAAATGTTACATGTGTAATATTAGGGGAAATTCAGGATTTTTTTAAATACTGCCTTATAAAATTTAAACCTTAAAACTTGTATGCTATTAAGATATGGATTATTAGCTACGATTTTATGCTATACTAATTGGTATAACATAAACAAAAAGTAGTTTAATAAAATTTTAAATGTTAAACACTAAAACCTTGTGTTATATGCAGTAAATGATACCCAGGGCAAGAGAGTTAATGTATGTAAATCACCCACATATGAACCTATGTTAATGTCTGAACAGGAGAATGTGTCAGTATATTGAATGAACATAACTTATAATAGTACAAAACAAATGTTTCAGGTTGTGGATTACTGTTTTGTAGGGGAATGTAAATTAATAGTGTAAGTCTGTTTAATAAAACATAACATAATGCTACAAGTTGTGTTCTTAATTTAGATGCTTCTAGCGATTTGTAATTTTGATTCACAGCAGTGAGGTTTGATATAGCATAGTGGTATGACTTACTGACTAGAAACTTTTTCAAAGATGAGGAAACAGTTTGACTCTTATAAAAATGCCCCCAGTGTTCACAGCAATATGTCTTTGGGCTTGCATTGCTAGAAATCAGGTCTTGATACCCATGGTGGGCAGAACACAGATAGTCCATTGTGTAGCTTTTTGCTTAATTACAAACAAACCTATAAAAATTGATTGAAGCTAGAGTAGACTGATCTGTTATGGAATCAATAAACTGAGCTTGCTTTTAAACAGAAAATTATTACTTTTGTCAAAGTGTGTTATTAGATGTAATAAAATTTTGTGTCTTCACTTTATGATAGTGCTGGAGTAAATACTCGATCAGGACTTGAAGATCAAGTGAGGAAACAGTACAGGTATTTTGTAAATTTCATGGTATTGTGATCAAATAGGTGTTAAATGTTTTAAAACAGTCATTAAATGCCTTTGTGTGTGGTTACCACAAAGGATTTTATAGTTTGAGGAGTAGTTTTTAATGTTATGTTTCCATTTTCATGTATGGTGTAAAATTGTCAGAGAATATGATTAAAATCTTTAATGATTGTCTTAAACCTAAGAATACATCTTTGAGTATATTCTTAGCAATAAAGTACCGAATAAAAAGATTAAAAGAAACCAGGTAAATTTTTTAATGAGACACTGAAATGTTAACTTTCTGACAGAAATTTCTTATAATGTAGTTTTTTCTGTATCCACACTGAGGAAGATTTCATGACCACAAAGAATAAAACTTCCTGAATATTAGTTCTTAATGTAAAATACCTTTGTGTACTGTAGGATCTACTGTAATATATCTGTGTTCTGTGGTAGTTTTAGCTTGCATGGTGTAGGATCTAGTGTGTAATATACGTGTTCTGTGGTATTCTAGCTTGTATGGTGTAGGACCTGATGTAATATATCTGTGTTCTGTGGTAGTTCTATCTTGTATTGTGTAGGATATAATGTAACATATCTGTGTTCTGTGGTAGTTCTAGCTTGTATGGTGTAGGATATAACATAATATATGTTTTCTGTGGTAGTTCTATCTTGCATGGTGTAGGATATAATGTAATATATCTATGTTCTGTGGTAGTTCTGTCTTGTATGGTGTAGGATCTAGTGTAATATATCTGCGTTGTGTGGTAGGTCTATCTTGTATGGTGTAGGAGCTTGTGTAATATATCTGTGTTCTGTGGTAGTTATATCTTGTATGGTGTAGGATCTAGTGTAATATATCTGTGTTCTGTGGTAGTTCTATCTTGTATGGTGTAGGATCTAGTGTAATATATCTGTGTTCTGTGGTAGTTCTATCTTGTATGGTGTAGGATCTAGTGTATTATATCTGTGTTCTGTGGTAGTTCTATCTTGTATGGTGTAGGATCTAATGTAATATATCTGTGTTCTGTGGTAGTTCTAGCTTGTATAAGTGTAGGACCTGATGTAATATATCTGTGTTCTGTGGTAGTTCTAGCTTGTATGGTGTAGGACCTAATGTAATATATCTGTGTTCTGTGGTAGTTGTAGCTTGTATGGTGTAGGATCTGATGTAATATATCTGTGTTCTGTGGTAGTTCTGTCTTGTATGGTGTAGGATCTAGTGTAATATATCTGTATTCTGTGGTAGTTGTAGCTTGTATGGTGTAGGATCTTGTGTAATATATCTGTGTACTGTGGTAGTTGTAGCTTGTATGGTGTAGGATCTAGTGTAATATATCTGTGTTCTGTGGTAGTTGTAGCTTGTATGGTGTAGGATCTAGTGTAATATATCTGTGTTCTGTGGTAGTTGTAGCTTGTATGGTGTAGGATCTAGTGTAATATATGTGTTCTGTGGTAGTTCTATCTTGTATGGTGTATGATCTAATGTAATATATATGTGTTCTGTGGTAGTTCTAGCTTGTATGGTGTATGATCTAATGTAATATATCTGTGTTCTATGGTAGTTCTAGATTGTATGGTGTAGGATCTAGTGTAATATATCTGTGTTCTGTGGTAGTTCTATCTTGTATGGTGTTGGATCTAGTGTATTATATCTGTGTTCTGTGGTAGTTCTATCTTGTATGGTGTAGGACCTGATGTAATATATCTGTGTTCTATGGTAGTTCTAGCTTGTATGGTGTAGGATCTAGTGTGTAATATATCTGTTCTGTGGTTGTTCTAGTTTTTATGGTGTAGGATCTAATGTAATATATGTGTGTTGTATCTCTAGCTTTAATGGTAATATGTTGCAGGAATGAAGAAGTAAGAGATGCTTTGGAATATCTAGAGGACATGGAGGTTAGTAAAAACAGCAAACTTTATAAATATTACTTGAAAAGGTGACATGCCCTTCATAATCATTGATAATATTCCATGAATTTTAAAGGACTGATGTTGAGTAATACATAGTCATCTGGGTAAGTGAGCAAATAGCAATTGATTTCAGTTGTTATAATTGTATATTTCTAATTCTAGTTCTTGTTCTCTTGAGTATATCTAGAAATTTATTATTTTCTCAATAACGCTAAAAATTAAATTATAGTTTCTAGAATTACACTAATCCTTAAATCTATTAAGTTTGAAGCTTTTGTACGTACCTACAGAAAAATGTAGATATAAAAACTGTATTTTATTTAATTTATAACAAAACTAAACTGTGTACCTGAATACATTCAAGATGAGTTTTATATTTTACTTCTACATAGATGTTGTAAAATATATCATACAAAACTCTATATTTAAAGATTGCTGAAGAAACAATATTATTACACCAAGTTTTTCATAACTCCGTAAAACAAACCCAGGTAAGATTCTTAGCCACAGACTTTCTAGCAGGTTTGTTGTCATATTGTAAGACTTGTTGCACCAGGCTTCTTGTGGCTAAGAATCTTACCTGGGTTTGTTTTACTGACTTAAGCTTTTTTAGTATGTTAAATAAAATCACATTTAACAGTCTTTGTGTAAAATGAAAAGTCTTAGCATTGGTGCTATAGATTGTAAGGTGTACTGAACAAATTTTTTTTTTTTTACTTACAGGAAAAGTGGAACACTTGTTTGAAAAAACTAGATTCTATTACAAAACAACATCGTTTTGGAACTGTCAGTGAAGATGTGTCATTATCATTCCTGTTTAATTTGGATGTAGTGAAAGCTAATACAGAAAAAGTAACAAACTTACAACAGTATGTTGACAAAGGCTTCTCCTCTTTGTTGTTGATTCTTCTCCGCCACTTTGCCTGACTACCCTGACGTGATCATGTGACACTCTTGCAACAGCACAAGGTACAAAACAAATGTTTCCATATTAATAAAGTGAACACTGTTCATGTATGAACACATTGACCATTTATGTCTGCATTTAATGATATATAACTACCTCTCTACACTAGTAAAAAAACATCTTTTTCCCGTTATTGCAGGAAGATTTCAGGAATGCAGGTTGCGAGGTGTTGGTGATCACTTGTGGTACACTTCAGAATGCTCAAGTCTGGTTACAGGATACACAATGTACACTAGACCTTTTAGTTGATTCTGAAAGAAAGGTATGGAAAGTGTTTATTTGAGGATAAGTTAAATATCATTGCTTGTCGTATTATTTAAGATTTCAAACACCACATCATGTAGTACTTTGATGTTCCAAGTACTACATCATGTAGTACTTGGAACATCAAATTTCTCGGTATCACCTCTGACACCCATCTAGCATGGAACAAAGATATTCAGAACATGCACGCCTCAATTAACAAATGTATCAACTTATTAAGGCTTGCTGCAGCCAAGCACACTCACAACATTCCTAAAAATATACAAAGTGTTTGCATGCCCACTTATAGAATATGGTTGTCAAATAACCTGAAAAAACTACAAATACAACAATAAGATTAGCCCTAAGGCTTCCAAAATTTATCCCAGTCAGTTACCTTCTCGTTTTAAAAATAGACTAATGCAGAAAGCATAAATAAATAGACAGCTGCACTTACACGAACTTGCAAGTGCCCCTACTAAACATATTTTTTCAATACTCTGTTTTGCGTACAGGAAAACAAAGAATAAAACAACACACACACACACACACACACACACACAACATGTTGAACACTATGCCATGTTGTTACTATCCATCAAGTTTTCTTTTACAGCCTGTGCACAGGACAACTAGATTATTTAGTGTCTGACCTGTGAAAGTGGGTTTTTCTGGCCACTCTGGTCTCCCTGCACAACATAATTCACCTGGGCATTGGACTTTATGGTCCCCCCCCCCCAAAAAAAAAGGCCTCCAATCAATTCCTTTCTATAAAATCCAGTTCAACAATGTTTATTTAAAAATGAAATTAGTTCCTAAATTCAAAAAGTTAGAAACTAATATTAGAATAATTCTACTGTCTTATCAATAGACATTGTGATTTAAATATAATACTTGGAATGCATGTTTGGATCTCTCTGTCTTGTCTCGACTCTTCAACTCTACAGGTCATTGACAGCCACAACATCTCTGCTCATCACCAACAACCACTGGAAATGAAGGACCTTCATCCTGCCTTCTCCAACCTTCTTCACAGCTCTCTCTCAAAACTTCCCGTCAATGTTGCTAAACATGATCATAATCACTGTAGCTAATTATTATTCTCACGTGCAGGGATGAAGGGGAACAACTGTTCCTGAACACCCCTGTTGAGAAGAGCAGGTAACTATCACGTTTTTTTCTCATCCTTCAAACTAAATTCCTGCCACCATTAGTTTTTCTTTTTCTTCTGTATACAGATTTATCACTCATTTGGACTAGGTCGGTCAGTGTCCCAAGTTTGGAACAGTCAAACAATACAGTACTATGCTGAAGTTTTTCTCTCTGGAAGAATGCCAGTGGCACCATACAAAAATGATGATGTTCTTCAGGTAATATTCTTTAATACTTTGGGCTAACAAACAACACATCTATGTTGTTGACTATGATGAAACAACACACACAGATTTTGTTATCATGTGAAAGGCTTTATCTCTTAAAGCAATGGCAAGCACATGAAGTGTGTCATCCAATTCTTGACTTGTGAATTGGTCATGACATATTGGTTTAGAACAAATCATTAACAAACTTTTCAGTTCCGAATGTATTGGGTACAGTGTGAGTAAGAATTAACGTTATCATATTATTTCTGCTGAAGGCAACAAACAATATTTAAAGCTCTTCTGCTTAATTTAGCAGAAGATCCATGTTCTCGTTGGGAAAAAGCATACTGATGCACATTTGGTTTAATTGTCTTAATAAAATTATTAATCTAAGTACATAATTTTTAAGCATTTTCACTGATCCTTTGTAACAGTCTGTTTTTTTATACTTGTCAAAAGTATTAAAATTGTAAATGTGTGTTTATGACAATAAGTACTATACACTGAGTGGTCACAAGTAAATAGACACCTAATTTTTCGTCATTTAGCTGATTTATGCTTACTAATTTGTGTTCACAGAGCACTACATGAATGAAAATGGTCCACACACTAATTATCTTGTGCTACAACATGCTTAGAACTCAAGGTTCTCTCAAATTGTCAGATTTTGTTAGAGGAAGGATAGTTGGTCAAGCAGATGGTGGAATAAGTCAGCGGCAAATTTTGCAGAATTTGGGAATCCCGCTTTCGACAGTCAACAGAATTATCGTGCAGTTTAGGAAACACGGCAAGGAAACAACTGAGCAGCATCCGGGTCATCTTGGTCCGTCCATCGCAAAGGACAAAAAAGGGCTGTCAAGAGGAGCATCGAAATGGATCCCAGCTTAACGACTGCAGAAGTGGCCAAAGTTGGTGGAATGAGCCCGAAATCTGTTCAACGGATTTTCCACAGATTGAGTTATTATTGCAGAGCAGCTAGACGGAAGCCCTTATTAAGATCTGCTAACATAGTCAGACAAAAGAAGTGGGCAAGTGATATGATGACCAAGCCTCTGGAAGACCGCATTGTTCTCAGATGAATCAAGATTTGCTCAATTTTCAGACAGTGGAAGGATATGGGTCTGTAGAATGCCTCACTAAGAGTTTTGGCTCAACAGATTGCAGCCAACTGTGAAGCATGGTGATTTCAGCGTGATGGTTTGGGGAGCTGTTTGGGTTGGTGGGAGATCGAGCTTAGTGGAGTGCACTGGCAACTCTTGCCACTTTATTCCTCGGGTTTCGTGGGCAAGAACACAACGTTGTTCCAGGAAGATGGAGCACCGTGTCACACTGCTAGAAACACCCAAAAGTGGCAGGAAGAAAATGGTATCCAGAAGTTGCCATGGCCGAGCCAATCTCGTGACATGAACCCCATCGAAAACCTTTTGGCCATACTCGACCAGCATGTCAAGAAACAACCAAGAAAACCAACTTCAAAGAGCATTCTACTCCAAGTTTTGAAGCAAGATTGGGCAAAAATCCCACAATCTAAAATTGACGAGATGATTCTCACGATGCCCCAAAGGATCAACTAACTCCACGAAGCGAAAGGAAGATTTACTAGATATAAATTAAATTATAAATATATCAATTCATGTGAATATGACTAAAAAATTTCTGAAAAGGTGGTGTCTATTTACTTGTGACCACGCTGTGTAGATGAAAGATAGTTTTAAGACGAAACTTGATATTTTTCAAGAACTGCTCACCATATGATGCTATTTAAATATTTAATTCATATATATTGAAAGATAAAGAGGTTTGATATTTAACTTGTTGATATAGTTCAACAGTTTTAATGATTACTAATATCATTTTGTATACTAAAAGAAGTATATGTAAAAGTTAATTGTTGTGTGTAAAAAAAAAAAAAAAAAAAAAAAAAAAAAAAAAACCCCCACCAACACACAATATGTAGCATTTGATACTATTAAAGACTTTGAGTTAAAATCATTTGATGTTAAAAGATTTTAATCTTAGTAAGTTGTAAGATTAAAGTACATTTGCGTATCCTAAGTAGCTTTAAACTTGTAACAGTATACATCTACTTATACCTAAATTTTGTTTTATTGCTCTGTGATTGCTCTTTGAACAACTGATTACTACTATTCATGCCATTATAAGTTGTAAATCACTTGGGAAACGTGGAGCTCACATTATGCTCTTGAATTACATTACCCACAAGCTACTCTGAGTCTGAGCACTTTTGTACATGCCTCTTGAAAGATATTTCTTATATTATTATTTATTTTATCTAATCTTGCCTTAAATAACCTAAAGTAAAAAACAGAAATAAAGTACTTACTTTTTTTTTGCTGTCAACGACACGTAACCCTACTTTTTTATACTAATGGTAGTACAGCACTAAATTTTTTATCTAATTAAATAATGCACCAAATAACATAGAAAAGCAGACAATTTCCACTAACTACTGCAATTTTCTGGCTTTCTACCTATGCGACAGAAACCATTACAAATTCATCCAAGCTAAGTGTTAACTTTTTGAGAACGAAGCTTGTACTAACTGAGAAATTGACAATTCTCTGTTCAGAAAACAACATAATATAATACATCATTTGATAGATGAAAAACTTGGCTTTCTATTGGTTATACATAGTATAGAATTAAATATAAAAGAGAACTATTAACAAATCCTGAAAGAGTGGATGTGACAGGTGGGTGTGGTAAGAGGGGTGTGATTTTTCTATTTGTTGGCTTTGTAACCAAACAGAATTGAAGGCTATAAAAATTATGGTTTGTCTGAGCAATGATAATTTTATAGTGAGTAAGTTACATTAAATTTCACACTTATTGGAGGGGTGGTGAATAAAATAAAGAAGAGAGGATGCCTAGAGAAAATGTCACATTCCTCACACTAGGGGAAATTCAGGATTTTTTTAAATATTGTCTTATAAAATTAATAACTTAAAACTTGTATACTGTTAAAATATGGATTATTGACTAGGATTTTATGCTATACTAATTGGTATACCATAAACAAATAGTAGTTTAATTAAATTTACAGGATTTTACTCTTAGTTAACGTGATCTGATGCTGTTACAGGATTTTACTCTTAGTTAACGTGATCTGATGCTGTTACAGGATATTACTCTTAGTTAATGTGATCTGATGCTGTTACAGGATATTACTCTTAGTTAACGTGATCTGATGCTGTTACAGGATATTACTCTTAGTTAACATCATCTAATGCTGTTACAGGATTTTACTCTTAGTTAACGTGATCTGATGCTGTTACAGGATTTTATTCTTAGTTAACGTGATCTGATGCTGTTACAGGATTTTACTCTTAGTTAACATCATCTGATGCTGTTACAGGATTTTACTCTTAGTTAACATCATCTGATGCTGTTACAGGATTTTACTCTTTGTTAATGTCATTTGATACTGTTAAAAAGTTGATAGTGATGACTGACTATAAACTATTTGTTTACTTATCAGTTAGCTGGAGATTTCATCGTGGACAACAAGGGTCATATTATCTTTTCTCATCCTAGCCAGACACCTACAGATAGACCTTCTGTTGACACTTTACTTGCAGCTGTAGAGACTGTTTTTTCAAAACTCTAGAAAATCATGTGTTGGTAAGAAACATAATGCTGTTTTTAATATCTTGTTTGGATGTTATAATCTACACATTTTTACAGGGACTAAAATAAGATTTTGGTTTTATATTTATAAGAGAATTATACGGTGATTTTCAGAAAGTTCAGCATACATTTTGAAAAAGACACAAAGTGTATTGAAGTGCATTGTTCCCAATAATGTATATTAAAAATTAGCTTTGCCCAATTCATCAAAAAATGATGGGAAAAAGTTCTGTAAAAAATAAAAATGGGGTTCTCCACCCTTCCTTTTGCAAGCACTGTTCATCATAGGAAAAAACACCATTCATTGATAAAAGAAAAAAAATTCAAGTAAGCTTTCAAAAAATCATTTAGAATGGTGCAATTTAAAAATGACAACTGGCCTTTTATATATATATATATTAGATTTTAATCAGAGAGAGTGGAACGGTAGTATCAGATCATAGTTCAAGACTTTTATATCACCCAAAAACATCAGGCCTAAGGTTTATGATAAAACTTCTATCACAAAGGTTAATTCTAAAAATTAATATAAAGTATAGTAGTCCACTGCTTGAGGGACCACCCTATGTTTCACATTAATAATGGTCTTATCTCAAAGAGAGGGGAGCTTCAAGATTGGACTACTGCTAGGAGAGCATGGCTAAATGAATGGAACTTCAAGATTGGACTACTACCAGGAGGGCATAGCTAGGTGGATGGATCTTCAAGATTGGACTAATACCAGGAGGGCATAGCTAGGTGAATAGAACTTCAAGATTGGACTACTTCCAGGAGAGCATAGCTAGGTGAATAGAACTTCAAGATTGGACTACTACCAGGAGGGCATAGCTAGGTGAATAGAACTTCAAGATTGGACTACTACCAGGAGGGCATAGCGAGGTGGATGGATCTTCAAGATTGGACTACTACCAGGAGGGCATGGATAGATTAATGGAGCTTCAAGATTGGACTAGTCCTAGAAGGGCATAGCTAGATGACTGTAGAAGTTAAGAGTACATTAATTATTTCTGTATTGCACATAAACTGTTGTAGTGCACATGTGTAAGGCCGATTTATTCTTCCACACAGTGCTGTACAGCACATACGTAAACCCAATACATACTAAAATAAGAGAAATTAAAATGTCATGTAGTATAATAATCTGTGAATTTATCTGATTCGGTCGCTTTGAATTGCACATAGACTTCTCAATTCCATCCTTGCTCTTGTTAACATATTCCAACAACTTGAGATTTTGGGGAGCAACTGCGAAGTCACTCAGTTGTTCCAATTATCCTACAGCTGTTCCTGTAGACACAACTGATGTTGCTACACTATCATCCTATTCCTCTTCATCTGAAGAAAAAGCAAAGGTTTGGCCTCTGGCATTAGCCAGAAGCTTCTTCTCCTAGGCTGCCTGTATGATTTCATTGGTGACAACATCATTGTCAAAGTTTGCATACTCTTCCCAGGTCACATAGATATTGTCCACAAAGACTGCAAGATCATTATTCACTTCAGGATTGTCTTCACCATCTTCAGGTAGATCCTCTGAAAAAAACACATTTGGCAAAAACTTATGAATAGTCATAGGTTGTACACTATTTCATGCATTCTTTAACTGCATGATAGCATCCAGCACATTTACATTCTTTGCCAAATAAATTGCACATGTGGCTTCACCCATGTGAAATAAAACATTTTTAATGAGCAGCTTTCTGTAGTTTATTTTCATGTTCTGGATAATTCCAGCATCATGTGGACGTGGTGTTTGGTGGGGAAAAAACAACAACTTTACATTGTTACTCTGCCATTGTAGTTCATGCTATGAAGATAATTTCTGATACACTTGTACATGTCCTGTAAAAGTAATTCTTATATGATATAGATTATTCTTGGAGCACAAAGTCTGTTAGTGTTGGGTGCATAGGTCATGCATAAAATATTTTCTCCAATGTCACTATTCATCTTATTCACTAAGAACAGTGGTATTGTAATTATCAATGTAACTGGTCATCCTGTTCACTATGGACAGTGGTATTGTAATTATCAATGTAACTGGTCG